TGTGTGTGTGTGTGTGTGTGTGTGTGTGTGTGTAGTGCATGACTTACTGCTAGGAGTCCCTTGATACTATAGGAGGGATTCTTGGTCTCCGTAACTTGGGCTGAGCAAAGGATGCGCTTGAAGCTGGCTGAGGTGCTCCATTCCACTGTGAACACACTGACAGATTATTCTCTGGCTTTACTCAAAACCTCCTCCGGTGCAGAAGTAAGGATTTGAATGTTTACAGTGTCGGGAACTTGCTGCACCTGCGCTTAATCTCGCCTTGGCTGCGAAGTTTGACATTTATGCAGCTGTAAAACTACGTGCATAGCAAACTAGATGCATAAATACAGAGCTTTTATACCTGCCATCTGAAATGATGTGTGAGACATTGATGATATTGGATCAATCAATAAATATTCCACTGAGTCCTTTATTTATCCATCATGTCTCTGCCCATTTTAGGCCTGAGAGTGTGGATACCCGACCTGAGCCCATCAGGACCAGGTTCGGACTCAAATTGGGAAATGATTGGATTTCTTTATAAGCTATAACCATGCATGTGAGAGACGGGGGGGGGGGGGGTAATAGAGCTTACATTTACTGCAACAGGCCTAAAAAAACTGTTATGTCGGCCTCTGGTAGTTTTCTTTCAAGCTTATTGCAGCCATGTATCTATCCATCCATCCCTCCATAGTGAATCAAACATCCTGTTATTAATCACCCACCTCTGTAGCGTGTGATGAGCCCCATGGTGTCACCCTCCGGCTCTTTGATGGTCACAAACAGCGAGGACGTGCTGGTCACCACGATGGATACGTGACTGGGAGGGCCGGGGAGCTCTGAGGGAAACATGTAGAAGACGGAGCAGAGTTCAAACTGAGCAGTAATTAATTCTGACTGTGGCAACAACCACTGACAACTGTGCAGCATATGAACTGTGCCTGATTCAAATACCCGCAACCTCTGTTGTTATTTGATTATTAAAGCGTTACCCTCACACAGATTTGGCACCTGACAAGTTTATGGACGTCGTTAAAGTAATTAATAGCCTGCAGCAACACGGCCATTGTGCTCGGCCGCCTGTCAATAGTAACGCTGTCATCATAAAACAACAGGGAAGAAAACTGGCCTTGCATTATCGAGAAATGACATGAGAGCAAAACAGAGATGTTTATACGGAGCAATTAAAATAAGTGCAGAGGAGGAAATAATCACATAATTCTAAAAAACTTGAGTTTGAACCAATGGAGAGACGACTTGAGCAGATCGGTGAAACAAGGCTAAGAGGTAAAATAGAGCGAAACATCCAGACACACTTTTACTTTACTGGTTCTAAATCCTTTTTTCCATTGATGTTTGAGAAAATCCTCGTAAAAGAACTAAACAGCTGATGATCCCTGTCCAACGTTGTTTTTTTAGTGTAGCCTTGATATATTGTAGTCTGTGTCTTGTTCTCGTGTATGTGTGTATATAGTGTGTTGTATTGTAGGTTGTGTACCGTTACTGTTACCAGCGATATGGTACAGTGCTTCATTACCGACAGGAATCATGGGAAATCCTGGTTGCTCTTTGGTAACGCAAAAAACAATGAACGGATCTGATCGTAGCTAACAAGATTTTCGTGGTTGTGGTTAAACATTTTCATGGTAACAGCAAACATTGCTATCACACCCGAGGATTATGGGTAGTGTAGTGTTTTCTGTGGCTTCTATGGAGCAGCTAACATCGTTTCACAATCTAGTAACTTCTGGTAAATCCACCTTGGAGGGTTTGAATATTATGGCTGGTAATTATTGGGATTTTTACCTCTGGAACCACCCTGTTGAGCTTTCTACAGCTGAACAGAGGTTGCATCAAACCTCTTCACAGAGGTACTGCAGAGGTGTTTGTGTGTGTGTGTGTATTTATATATATATATATATATACACTAACACCAAGGTTGCAGCCACTGGCAGCTGGTGGAGGGAGTGAATAGTGCATGGAAGAGTTTAGAAAGGTTGAAGCGAGGCAGTATGTTGAATTTTAAATGGGGTGAAAAGAGGTGGAGTGAAACTTTCTAGAGGCCACCGAGGAGTAAAGGAGTTCAGTGGGGAAATCACTGAAACATAAGAGAGTCGTTGGGCTGAATACCTGATGACTGTGGCCTTTGTCAGCAGTAATGGAGACTTTATAGAAAAAAATAGTTCTGACTTGTTGAGACAGAGTTTGAAAAGGACAGAAAATGTCTGTGTTGACAGAAAACAACCAAGGTGGTGTCAGACTCCCAGGGTTCGAGAACCGCCACAAGCTGAACCAAGACCACCGACCTGTGTTTTGGAAATTCTCTCTCATCCGGCAGTACAGCTGCAGCCTGAGGCTCCAGAGGCGGACGTGTCTCTGGACGTCAGCTTGCGCCTGAGGCGCGGCACTGGTCCTCCTCACCAACTCCTTCTTCCGCTCCTCCACCCGATTACCTGCCAGTGCCACCAGAGCATCCAGCTTAAGTGCCCATTCTGCTGGTCGGCACACTGAGGGGAAAAACAGTGAGACAGACATGCATTGAACTGCGGACTTGTGACATCATTTTTACGACATCATTTTTTGGTTACTTTTGGTGTTTTATAAGACTTACAAATGGGGTTGTGCCTGGCTCCACCCTTTGTCAGCACATGGAGCAGAGGGGAGTTGTGCGTAAGGGCCGCTACGTCGAGGGGGACCAGGCCCTGCTCGCTCATCCTGTTCACCCCCTTCACCCTCTCTCTCTCCCAGTCCCTTTCTTTCCTCTCTCCCCTCTCCCACAAGCTTCCTCCTCCTCCTCCTCTTCCTCCACAGCTGGTGTGGTCTCTGGATAGCAGGCTTTGTACAGCCAAAGTGTCCTCATTTTCCACAGCCTCCCAAAGGGTCTTGTACTAATGGGGAGCAGCAGGGAGCGAGAGAGAGAGTGGGGCCACAGCAGGGTGAGGGAGACAGATAGAGAAAGAGGGTTCATAGATTTATTTTACGAGAGAGGAAATAGGTTCAGGAGGAGGGAGATGCTGAGACAGTAATTAGGACACATAACCATAAATCAAATCATAACTCATAGCCTCATCTGGGATAAAACATTCATACAGTATATTTCAGCCATAATGAAAACCCAATCAAGAGGACAGAACATTTCATTTCAGACACTGCACCTCCCCCGAAAATGACACGTAAAACATATCTTACAGCATCTGCACACTTGCTGAGGTGCCTGGGTGTGTCCACTTCCCCAGCAACAGATGACTCTCCTCCCCTCAGTCTGACAGACAGGTTTCTGTATAAACGTTTGGGTGAGACGGGACCCAGAGAGCGCCGGCGCTGGGGTGGGTTCCTCATGGATACAGACATGACAGGAGAGGAGAGGAGAGGAGAGAAGATGAGATGAGAGGAGAGGAGAGGAGAGGAGAGGAGAGGAAGAACAGGAAAATGGAGAGAAGAAGAACTAGTTGAAGGGGTGACAGATGGTTTAGTTCATGGAGAGGGAAGACGAGATAAGAAAACTGGGGGGAGGGTATTAGAAAAGGTGAAAGTCATTACAAGTCTAGAGGAGTGAAAATGAGATAAGAAGTAGAATAAGGGACATAAAAAACGACAAAAAACAGTCAAGCTCACACCGATTATTCTACATTAAAAGCAAACTGACTTTAAGGGCGAGTATATGCGGAGCTGTTGTGTGGGTGGATGAATGGATAAAAGTTACAAGGTGAAAAAATGCCTTGAAGCATTTACCAGTCTGCCTTTTGTTCCTTTTTCTATAATGTGGCACAGGTTTTTTATTTGCTCTGAATGGAATCTCTCAAGGCTACAAAGCCAACGACCCTCCACTTAAAGAAAAACCTTCTGATGTGAGCCGAATAAATGACAATCTCTTCAAATACTTAATATAAATCCCATTCTCATCCATACAGTAATGCTGTTTCTGATTTTTTAATTTATTTCATTGCATTTTCTTTGCTGTAATAAATCACATTAAAAAAAATTCTATCCAACACATGAAGCTATTCGGTGTGGCATAGTCTTTTCTTAACTAAGTGTCCTCTTTCATGTTTGATCTTTCTTCTCATTCCCTCTTTCTCTCTCCACTATTTTCACAGCCCTACAGATTAGACGCCTCGAGCATTCATCTGAAGAGCATCTTTTTAAAACACAGCATAATCAGACTCTATCATCGCTGTCATCGCTCTGTTTCGTCACCTCTTTCCCGTCCAAAGGGGAAAGTGGATCGCCTCAAATTTCTGGGCTTTTTCTGAATTTCCTCCCTCTATCAAGTCCAGTCCTGCACCTGAGTAGTGCACTGTCCTTGTGTGAATCTGAGTACTCCCCTGGCTGGTGCTATCTGAGGACACAGTATGATGGCTCCAGCCACAATGACGCCACATCTTGCAAGTGACTCATTACCACTGAACATGCTACCTCACTGCATGACTCAGTAGCCTGCAGGGTGCATGTGCTGACTATATGGGGATGCAGGGGTATAGGGGTAATACCAGCCCGTGTTATTGGTCCAGTTTTGCCATGTTTGTTTGTTATGTCTTACGTCAGTCGTGGAAAGTGCTGACGAGACAGTTGAAAGAGGAGAAAGCGACAAGGCAAAACACCTGGGAGGAGGCATCATTGCAGTGTGTGCCAGCATTGTAGCTGAGTGAATAACAGCTATGACAGCAGGCTAGTGCTATGGGTAATTTAAAAAAAAAACTGCTCATATATTAATAGATCTATCGATTCACTGTGGTTCTTGTTGCACGTCAGTGTCTCAAACTGTGGTGAAGCTAAATGTTACAGCTCACAAGTTGTGCATGGAAACATCTGATGAGATTATTCTAAGAATGCCTCAGCAAGTACATCCATATGTGTGGAAGATTATACAAAGTATTACTTACTTTCACCTGCAGTTTAAAAAAGTGTGTGGATTATCTAAAGCACCAAATTACAACTGCAAATGAATTTAGCTTTTTCTGAATTAAACCAACAGGACCATGATTCAGCATCACACACAATGAACTAACACATCTCAAAAGTTAGTGACAAGAAACAACACATCATGGAACAGTTGGATTTAATGTAATCCAGAGGAATACTATACAAGACAGTGGTCAGTCTAATACGAAAATCATTAAACCATTAACAAATAATAAACTAACACCAAGTGAAACTACAATGAATTAAAACCAGGTTAAATTAAAAAGAAAACTTCGCCCTGAAAAGTTAAATACTGAGTGAAAACTTTCTTCTTACCGTCAGTCACTTTTCCTCGATGTTTGATTCTAAATGAAAACCTGAGGATTTGATTTAATCCATCGTCCCGAGTTCAGGAGTGTCCACCTCTGAGGGTGAAACGCACCTGAACGCAGCACCAGAGACTCACTTCCTCCACACGCACACACGTATGGGCACGTGCATGAACGCGCCGGCTCGTGCGCATTGTTCCGCCCTCTTCCCACTGAATCTCTTCATCTTCTTGGAAACTTGTGAAACCTGAGTTATTGTAGACATGTTGTTTTTTTAATTACTGCTGTATACTTGTTTTTATACACATAAGACTCTGTTGCTCATTAAGTTCTATACAAACTTAGAAGTTGAGTTACACTGGTTCAAAGTTAAACATAATATCTATATTAATGTGAATAATATCTTTATAGCCCACAAAACACACAAGTACAAATACATAACAAACAAATATAAAAGCATGACGTCCCACTACAATAGTAAAAACTAAAAGTATATTTTATTGCATAACTTTTATATTCTTATTCACATTGCTCTTGCTTTTGGTTCCTACCTGCTGTGTTTACTGGGGGATGATTAAAAGGTGACGGTAGGCGTTGAGTGTTAAACTGTCCTGAGGTGACAAACTGACAGGAGCACAAACTAAGAGCACTGCTGTGTGATATAAACTCAAACCTGATAGCCTTGATCATGCAAATGTGTAATGAAATGTTTTTAATAATTATCATGCACAGTGAAGCAGCTTTATAAGGAGACAACACAGCCTCCAGTGCATGGTTTCTCACCATATTTGTCCTGGTCATCTTTATTTAAACAAATCTGTTGCTGCCGCACAGTTTTTCATGTCATCTTCACAGGAAACAAAAGGCTGTGAGGCAGTGATGTAAACAGAGAGAACAAGGTGCGTTGAGGTGAATGGAAAAATGTATATTTAGGGAATAGTTCAACAGTGATGGCTGCTGTGTGGGTGGTGGTGGTGGTGGTGAGAGTTTGTGTTTGTGTGTGTGTGTTTGTGTGTGTGTGTGGTGCTTGGGGAGGGACACTCACGTGGTTTAATATATATCAAGTGAAATGACAGAAAATCAAAGGGCCAGCAATGGAGTGAAAAATGTTTGCATGTTATGGCATATTAAGTCGTCTCTGCTTGTGCTCGGACGGAAGCTGAATCTATTCCTCTCCGTGCTGCACTGGCCCCTGAAGAATTATCTGTGTGAAATGGTTGTCAAATAAAGCTGACAGATATATGCACCGGCTCCCACCTGAGCTCTGAGGACGGCTCTCTGTCTCTCTGTCTGTTGGTTCCTCTCCCCTCCGTCTCTCTCTCTCGCTCTCTCTCTCAGGGGCCGATAAAACTGCACAGTCTGACGGATTTAGCTCTCGTCCAAGCGCAAATGGAGACTTTAGAAACTAATATCTTCCACCTTGTCGTCAGAGGACGGCCTCACTTCTCTGTCAGCCCAACGAGGCTTTGACCACTTCCTGCACACGCGGTCCTAAGATGGTGCACAGTGCCTTCAAAAGGCAACTCATGTTACACACTGAAGAACTATGAGAGATTAACCTCTTGCACAAACTTGTGCACACTCATGCACACTGGAAAACACACTCACACTGAGCTTCATTTCATGTGCAGCTTTGATGTGCAAGAACTGCGTTGAAGGAGAAGTAGAGAGAGATTATACATTGACATGTCGGTAGTGGCTGATACTCGCCCCCACGCTCGTATCATTAGACAGTCTCTCAGTTGCCGAGAGGCTTTTGTTGTCATGGCGATAACCGAATCGTGGCTTTCACAGTAAATGATACTGCAAAACAAACTCATGCATCCCACCACACTCTCACAGCTTATTTTTCACCACTGACGTTCATTAGAGCATAAACTGGGGCTGATACTTTATTTGGAGGTGAATAATATTTGAAGCATTTAGCTGAAATATAAGATAACAAGCGATACCCTTGAACTGCCGCTGCACTTTACTGCTGCATCAATAAATGAACAAACCATTGAGAAGAAAATAAAAATAGGAGTTAAGTCTCACATTCTCTTCTCAACTTCACATTTCTCCTCGCGTGGTTCAGCTCTTTAATTCACCTTCCAGTCTGAAGAGGTCCACGACACGAAGACTCATCCTTATTCATTTCAAACAGCGTAAACAATGCACAGTGTGTATCATAACCTCCAGATGTTGTTTACTAATATTCATTCATTTTTATTTATTTTCAACAGTTGTAAATAAAAAAAAGAGATTTAATACAAACAAGTATTATTTACAAACAAACAGAAATCAAACAATAATAAGAAAAATATGGTTTTTTTTTAATCTTGTGAACAAAATTGTTCAATAAAGTTGTGATTGAAAAGAGGTCGTGTAGGCTAATGGCGCCATTTTGCACCACTGATGCAACTTTATTCCACAACTTAACTTTACCGGTCGAACTCATTCACTAAACTAAATTGAAATATCGCATGTGATGGCGTCATCATAACTTTTTCTACAGCAGGAAAGGTAAGTTGCTGATTAGCTGCTAATTAGCTAGCTAACAAACAAACTGCTTCCTTGTGACCTTGTGACAGTAGCTAGCTAGCTAGCTAGCTTGTTTTTCACCTGTGTGAGTTGCAGTTTTTCACCATGGGTTGATCAGCCGTGTTGTGCGTTTTCCATTGCGACAGGTGACGGGACAGAGATGGCGAGCAGGGAAATCGTTCATGACAAGATCCACTTCAGACACGACCCAAAATGGAGCTGCGGCCTGGTGTCTGCAGAGAGCGGAGGGCTGCTGGTCTGTGTGGCCTGCGTCATGGAAATGATCGAGAGTGAAGACGTCGCAGTGAGCGCTCCATCGTTTTACCGACATATAAGAAATGAATCAATCCACTGTACGGATTTGGGCAGATGGTGTATGTCGAGCTAAAGATCCGTGTTATCCCCCTAACACGTCCTTTCCCAGTTACTACAGTAAATCCAGGATCCTGTTGTCGTCCCGTGTACAGGTTTTATTTAACCTCTCTCCCTACGTGTGTCTCTGTTGTACAGTCAGTGAGAAAGTCCTTCGCCTTGTCTGGTATCACTGAGGTACTGAAGTGTTCTCCAGGGGCCATGAGAGATCTGCTGCAACAGGACCACAGAGTCCTGATGCGTTTCACAGCCTCACTACTGGGTGAGCAGTAGTAGTAGTAGTAGTAATAGTAGTAATAGTAGTAGTAGTGTCACGTACAACACAAGATTGGGATGTGAGGTCTATCAAGAACGATAAGAAATCATTTTCTGGGCTGTTTGGATGATGACTTATTCGTTACAAAACAGGAGACATCTCCAGTAACACAGTCAGCACAGATTCTCCATCCTCGATATTAAATGTAGTTCTAGTTTATCAAAAGAAAATAGAAAAGATTCCCATACATAACAAAGCAGTTTACTGTTTTCCTTCATGTTATAGACGTTTTGTTTGTAAGATTAAACCGATGCATCTGGCTGATATTTGGACCTTTATTAGTTCCTTGGTCCTTTTATATAACTGATGTTTCTTTTTATGACGGCTTCATTAACTCTGAGGTCAACCTGTGTTGCCATGCCATGGTTTCTTTTAGTAACCGACTCTCTAAAATCATTCAGGTGGATTATATTTTGGATGGACATGATTTGTTTGTGTCTAAAAAATATTTTTATGCTTTTTTCCGTAGAACTCTGGCACAAAACATCAGCTGCTGGCAAAATAATACAAAAATAAGTCTAGAAATAGAATAGAAGGGAATTCAATTGAAACATAATGTGAAAGCCTTGGAGATAAATTGACTATTATTCTTTGTGCTTGTTATGTACGCATTTGAATTAACTGCCGATAGCACAGAGTTAGACAGAGTCTTTATATAAAAATCAGCTACAACACATTAAACCATTAAGCAGGGAATGAATTGGTACAGCACTCATTCCATTATACTCTCCACTACTGCTGTGATTATACCACAGTGCGCTTTATATGGTTTTGCATCATTAGAGGACATTGCTGATAATTTCCCCTCAATTGATGAATTTCTATGTTATTGTTGCATAAAGTAGTCTGGCTATACAATATTACTTCTAATCACATTAGTGCAATGAGAGGATATGTGGTCAAATGTTTGTCTCTAAAGGCTCTGGCCAAATATGACAAGACATTAAAAGAGCCATTACAGTGCTTGCGGAATGTTGTTCTGAACTCAGCTGCACCAACGAGAGCGTAATCCAATTTAAAATATACTTTCTTTCCCCCCACTACACATTGTGTACATGCTTGCAGGGAACTTGCTATGTGATTTGGAAATACAGCAAATCTGATCCAACATACAGACTGTGTAACATCTGTGACTCTCACACAGCTTTTATACACACTGTATAGTTTTATGACTCTTTATGATCAGTTAGAGCCTAAAGCTGCACAACTTAAATCACAGTTTGATGTGCTTGCATCCTCTAAAGCTGGCATCGCCCTACTGTTGGTCCCTTTTTCATGTGTCAGTATTCTAACCTCATTTTTCTCATTACACCTCCGTGGGGTCTCTGTACATTTCAATGTGTTTGTGAAGCTTAAATCTAGTCATTATTGTTCTGTCCCTAGGGATGCTTCACACCGTGGAGGACCTCACCACCCTGGAAAAGGTTCAGCAAGGTGAAGAGATTCCTTATATACTTCCAATGCACTCACACAGACTCTCTGTGTAGATGATATATAAAGACCATTTGAAAGTGCACACACATGCACACTGTCGTTTCTGAGGCCTGCACACACACACACACACACACACACACACACCCTTTGTGGCTCCGATAATGGTCGCTGCTGGTAACTAAGGTAATTTTGCATTGACTCCATAGTACCATTATCCAAAATGAAAAATTTTGAAGACTTTGACCTCTTTTCTCATGCTGATATTCTTTCATTTCTGCGCTGTGCGCAGCTGAAGTACCTATTTTTCTTTATGCTGCTACATGCAGCTTTTTCTCAATCTTCTCTTTATGTTGGCTTCCCGGCAAACAGGCAGTTTTTAGCACACACAGACATTTTGTTTCACTGTAACTAATCCTTTAAATTGCAGAAATGTTTTGGTAACTGCAAATGACAGAATGATTCTATGGTAGCTGTCTCAACATGCCTTAGGGATCACTCTGCTGCAGTAGTTAGTGGAGTG